TCCTTTTTACCCACACCACAGCTCTTTTTACCCACACAAGAGCCAGTTTGGTGTAGTGGTTAAGTGTGTGGACTCTTATCTGGGAGAACTGGGTTTGATTCCCCATTCCTCCACATGCAGCTGCTGGATGACCTTGGGCAAACCATAGTTCTGTCAGAGCTGTTCTTAATTTTTTAAAAAAAAATTACATTTTTTTAAGCCCCTGGAGGGTAGTATAACCTGAAAAAAAAGAGCTGTTTTTGAAAGCGCTCTCTCAGCCCCACCTACCTCATATGGTATCTGTTGTGGGGAGGGGAAGGGAAAGGAGTTTGTAATCGTTATTACTATTATTGTTTTACTTGTGATTTTATTGTTTTACTGGGTTTTATGCTGGGCTTGTGCCCCCTGTAAGCCGCCCTGAGCCCGCTTGCGGGGAGGGCGGGGTAAAAATGCCTTAAATAAATAAATAAATAAATAAATAAATAATCCGCTCTGAGACTCCGAATGAAGGGCGGGGTATAAATCCAATCTCCTCCTCCTCTTCTTCTTCATCTTCTTCAGTGAGGTAGGTTAGACTGAAAGTATGTGATTGGTCCAAAATCACCCAGTGAGCTTCCACAGCAAGATAAGAATTCATACCTGGGTCTCACAGACTCTACTCTGAAGCTCTAACTACAACACCACACTGGCTTTCAGGGTGGCTGCTGTTGAACAGTAGCGAGCAACCAGGCCTAGGGTTGCCAGCCTCCAGGTGGGACCTGGAAATATCCCAGAATTATGCCTGAACTCCAGACAACAAAGATCTGCCCCCTGGAAAAAATAACTGCTTTGGAGGGTGGACTCTATGGCATTATACTCAGTTGAGGCCTCTCCCCTACCCAAACCCTGCCCTCATCACACTCTACTCCAAAATCTCCAGAAATTTTCAACCTGGAGCTGGCAACCCTAGCCAGGTCTGGCCTCAGTCAGTCTTCCACCTTTCAAACCTAGGCCAAAATACGACTTGAAAGGGCCCTGCCCTCTCCCCCTGCCTTTTTACTCACAGAAACTGAAGCCTAGCATGCTGTGGTTGCCTAGAAATAGCCACTGAGGGAATCTGTTGCTTAAAACTATAGGTGCTACTTTTATTATTTTTGGATTTTTGAGCTGCCTACATTTTTCTGCAAGCCTAGAACTAGGGGTGTGCATTCAATAATAGCCAAACCGGAAAAATACCCCAAAAATACCTTATTGGTATTTCGGGGGTATCACATAAGCTGAATACAGATCTTTTTTCAGGTATCACATAAGCATAATACAGATACTGCTATAGCTGAACCCAAAAAAGCCAATATTAGCCAGCTTTTGGGGGGGGTTCATTCTGCTATATTTATTTGTTTGTTTGTTAGACTTTTACCCCGCCCTCCCACCAAGGCGGCTCAGGGCAGCTTACAACGGTTAAAACCAGTATACAATTAATACCGATTGTCACATCTAAAACAATACAAAGCAATACAATAAATACAACTTATTAAAATTAGAATGTGGCAGCCATCTGTTATAAAGTGCTAGTGCTTATGTGGGACGGTCAGTGTGGCCAGGGCTGTTAGAACACTTGTCGGAACATTATATTATACTGAATACAAGGAGTCCGTTAAACCTAACAGCCAGTCAGCTGTTGGGTTTAAATGCCTTTCTTTCTCTCCCTGATCTTGGGGAGGGAAAGAAAGGCATTTTAAACATGCCTGGGTTCCCTAACTGACCTTCTCCATGGCGAGTTGGCTGGGGAAGGGAAGGGAAGGGCAGGCATAGAAACATGCCTCCTTCCCTCCGTGAACGTCTCCGGAGAAAGTCAGGGAGGGGAGAGAAAGTGGGGGTGGGAAGAAACATGTCTTCTCCAACTTTCCCTCCCCTCTCTGAGTTTCTCTGCAGCAGCTGAGAGGCTCAGGGAGGGAAGGAGGTATGTTTTCATGCTTGCTCTTCACTTCCCCAGCCGACCTGCCGCAGTGGCCAGCTGGGGAAGCAAAGGGCAGGCAGAGAAACATACCTGGGCTCCCTGCCCCATGTCAGTTAGAGAAGAGAAGGCAGAGAGAGGAGGCTTTCCCTTGTCAAGTTCACTAACAGGTGGGGAGTGAAATTGACAAGGAAATCTGCCTGGGCTACCAGAAGGAAAGAAGGCATTTTAACATGTCTCCTTTCCCTCTGGTGGGGAAATCAGACCTGAATATTTTCGGCAATACCGAATATTTACCTAATCTTTACAATACTTTACTGGTATTGGACTGGGGAAATTCGGCATTTACCGATATTTTCCAGGTCTGATTTACCCAAAGTCGAAAAATACCGGGTTGTGGGTTTTTTTGCACACCCCTACCTAGGACCCTTTTCAGGTTTGTCTTGCCCATTCACAGCTCCAGTCACTGGATTTAAGTATCCAACGGTATCCTGACTTCACTGTTAGTCACTGGATTTAAGTATCCAAAGATCTCCTGACTTCCCTATTAGAATATAAGATGAATCCCTATGAAAGAAATTCAGTTTTAAAGTTATATATAAAGCACAAAATTATTTTCTTTTTAAATATTGTTTTTCAACTTCGTTGTATTAATGACACCATGCAAAATTGTTCACACAGTTCTTCATGTCCCTGTGGTATTGTTGAAAACTGGGTCCCACATAAACTGAAGGAAGCATTCTTGCCTTGTTATATTGATGATTATTTTCTAGGAAATTGTATGAAAGAGGATTGTTGCCAGTTACTTTGCAAAAAGTATGGACGTTCCTGCAATGGGAGTGTGAAGCTGTGTTAATAATCACATTGCTCATAACTCATTTTTTAAATAATATTGACACATGTTTAAAATTGACTGTTATATGATATGTGTGGTATTTTAAAGTGTCCTGGGGTAATTAACACACACATCTGTGTTGCTACTAACTACAGGCTTGATAAACTCATACTGTGGTTTTTACATTTTTGTAATTTTTATTTTGTGAACATACATTTTGTTAAGCATGTTTTTCTTTGCTTTTTACAGTGATTTTGTTCTACCCTATTTATATATGTACATCTTGGATATCTTCTCATGTGCTTTTGGCAGGTCCGTAACCTTTTAAAATAGGTTAACATTTAAATAAAATGTACCTCTGCTGTCTTATATCCCTCTATCTGTAGTATATTTATTTAATTAATTAATTTCTAGCCCGCCCTTCCCACACAGCAGACTCAAGGCGAATTACAACAATGCATATAAAAACAATAATTTAAACAGCCTTCTTGTATGTCTTTACTTTCTCTTTGATAATATAATTTTAGTTCTTTAGTACATTTTATAAATATTCATTTTCTCTCAGACTTATACTGAGCTTATTGTATAAATTTTCTAAATGGACAGCTCCCCCCCCCAGGAACAGAGTCCATAGGACCGGGGGGGGGGTGTTATTGACAGAACTGGCTTTTCCTGCTTTTCCTTTCCTCCTGCAGTCTTCCTTTTGTACTCCTTTATTTAAATACCTGTAACTTATTTCCCATTTTAGTACTGTTTATCATATTCTGTGACTGTCTAACTTCTAGTGTCTTACATGTTCTTCCTTTTGTTCTTTGCGTGTAAAATGTCTAAATTCTACTTTGATAATGACTTTTCATCATTGTCTCAGTTTTCTGCTTATATGAATTTTTCTTTCTTCCTCGTGGCCTGTTGCCTGTCATTGCTGTGTCAATTTTATTTTTCTCTGTCTCAGAAGGTTGACTCTAGTTCAGTCTAACTGTCCTTTCTCTCAAAAAGTCTTCAGTGCATGTGAACAACTAACTGCATGTTTTTAGACTTACACATTTGTAATCCTGCTGCATATTCCCCAGCATTCGAAACTTTGCCACACTTTTCTGCCATCAACTTTCTTTGTGTGCATGCCTATATATTTCTTTTCTCTATTCCCAGTGCTGTCAGCTTTCTTTCAGAAATAAGGATTGTGTATTCCACATTCTTTATTAATGTTGCATGTCTTCCTTTTTTAAAACCTGCAAACTATAAGTCATAGTAGGTGCTTATTCCCCAACCCCTGTATTGCAGGTGAATAACATATAAATGACTCCTGCCATTTCCATCTTCTCATGCTTGCATGTAACCCTAATCTCTTGTTGCCTGCCTGATTAATCTCCAAATGTGCCTGCATATTGGGGAAGGGGGGCTGTTTTAAATCTATGTGGGATTCTCCCCTTTGAATCCTGATTTCTTTCTTTCTTTCTTTCTTTCTTTCTTTCTTTCTTTCTTTCTTTCTTTCTTTCTTTCTTTCTTTCTTTCTTTCTTTCTTTCTTTCTTGTGCATGCCTTCAGCTTCTTCCACAACCCATTCTCATTCACCCGAAGCACATTTTGGTAACTAGTGTATTCACACTACAAACTCATTTTATTAATAGTATAATTATTGTACTCATTGTAACATCAATAATTCCTTCATGTTTACATGAATTCCTGCCTCGTTTCTATCTAGGTGTTAGTATGACTATGCATATGCAAAACTGTGAAGTCTTGGAAGGTTTTCTGTCTTGAATTAATTAATGGAGTTCTAAGGCTTTCCTGAGTGATTCACTTAATTGCCTCTGGAGGTGATTTAAATCTTGTAGAAAATGCCCCTTCATCAAGGGGAACTTAAATAGATGTCTTTCATTTTTCTTACTCATTTCAAACCCAGTATGAGAGCTCAGAACCTTTTGCTGCCTTATTAAATATAGTACTTTGACTCACGTTAAATGGATATTGTACAATTACAGTTCTACTACTTCAGAAAATATGCTTATCCAACTCACTCTGTTAAACTGGATGAGTGACTGTCTCATATTTGGTGAGTGCTGATGGTCCCAGTGGTATGTTTGATCATAACTATTTGTTGGCCTTTCTGATTTTAAGTCTCATTTTAATACATACTATGCATTTGTGCTTAATCTGAACTTGGTTATATGAATATATATCCAGAATTCATTAAATTACTTTAAGTACTGTAATCTCAATGGGGCTAATGTCACACCTCATTTTTTGTTTAAAGTTGGCACTCTACGTGCTTTCATTCCTGGAACCTAAGGATCTGCTGCAGGCAGCACAGACATGTCGATACTGGAGAATTCTGGCAGAGGACAACCTTCTGTGGAGAGAGAAGTGCAGGGAGGAGGGTAAGGCTCATTGAAATGTGAATTCAGATATATTAACAATAGTACAAGATAATTTAACTAAGTGTATACTTTCTGTACCAAATGCTTAATGCAAAGGTGGACTATAAGTAATGTAAATAAATTTAACTTGGAATAATTTAAAAACTGCCACTTCTGAGCATCTATATTGTTTATGACATAGAATATAAGAACAACAATCTGGATAGATTGTAGAAACTTTTACATGCAAAGAACAAAAAAGAAAATTGTAGGAAACTGAAAATAATTTCTAGTCAGTTCTTATAATGAGTGTCATCCTTATAGGTGAAAAATGAATAGTAAGCAAATTCTTTTAAAAGTATGAGTACTATATGTAATTCTTTATAAAAACCTGAAAGGCAGAATGACTTACAGTGAGAGCAAAAGAAGGTAACTTAAGTGTGCAGGTGGTAAAGATTCATATATGTAGTCTTGAAGTAATGGTAGTAGTTTTTTTAATGAAGATAGCATAGGATGAAGACATGTGCCAGTGTATAGGGTTGCTGTTAAACTGATGAAGTTTGGCTAGATCGCTTGGTGCTAAAAGTCCTGTTGTACATTAAAACATCTTGTAAAAAAGACTGTGTTATATTCAGGATTTGGCAGATCAAATGGCTGGAGAACAAACAGTTCTGAAGTGGGTGTTGATCCACATGTACTGGCAACTACAGTTTCAAGCTAGTAATGAAATGCACCAGAGGGTAAAGATAGAGGATAAAACAGAACCTTAAGATCCTCCTACTAATGAGCCAGAAAGAAAGACGTGCATAGCCTTTGGAAGAAAAAGTGAATGAAAACAATTAGAGAACAAAACATTTTTAAGTGAGTGTCAGAGACATGAAATTTTGAATTCCAGGCATCAAGATAAAGAATAAGTAAACAGTAGTATAAAAATGTGATAAAATCTGACAGTGTGGAACACATTAATATCTTCAACAAATAGAATTATGGGGGGGGGGATGAAAATTATACTACATATGATTTTGAAGAAAAGGGGGATAAGAAGGGGTAGTAGGTACTAAGGAATGAAGTCTGAAATAAAATGCTTAAATAGGATATAAGTCTAGAGATGATCCTAGTGTTTTGTAAAGCAAGGCTGACACAAGGATGAAACTGACCTTTGTGTGTGTTTCTGATTTCTGATTTTGTTAAATTTTTATAGGGATTGATGAACCCTTACATATAAAGAGAAGGAAAGTAATAAAACCAGGCTTCATTCATAGTCCATGGAAGAGTGCTTACATCAGACAGCACAGAATTGATACTAACTGGCGGCGAGGAGAACTTAAATCTCCTAAGGTAACCATCTTTGAACTAGGGATATTGTATAATAAATTAAGTGGGATCTCTCCTTCAAATCCTATTTTTGTTCTAGAATAACCAAATAATTTCTGACATTTAAGTACATTCTAAAATTGCTCAGATAACTTGAGAAAGCAATCAACTTCTTGAGGTTTCCAATTTACAAATGTCTTACTTCACTTGGAACTGTGTCATTATCTTGGCATTTTGGCAACTACTCTCTTCAAATTCCATAAAGGTGTATCCTTAAATGCCCTCTTAACCTCCATTCATTAAAAAAAAGTTCTTGGAGCTCCATTTCTTTCACTTGATAGTGTCACCAAAACATGTAACCAAGGACAAAATTTGCTTAATTCTTAGTAATTGTCATTGAAGGTGTCATGATCATGGGCCTATAATGGTGTGGCCTACAGGCTCTGGGGAGGCCTGGTGGCTCCAGGGAAGCCTGTAATGGAGTAGTCATCAGGGCCTACATTTTCCAGGTTCCTCTGTGATCGGGTAACAAGAGATTTTGGAGGGAAAACTATACCAGCAGGGGAACAGAGGGTGGTACCTGAGAGGAGGAGATAAAACGCCTTACCCAGAGTTGGAGGGTGTTTTCTTTCAGGGAGCAGGGCTGGTAAAGCTGCTGCAGACTGAGGGCTCCCTCATCCAACAAGGGGTGAGTTAGACTGTGAACAGGTACTTAGGGAAGGCTAGGACTGTATAGATAGATGTGTTAGGGTTTATTATTTTTACTGATTTACCAGCCTTTACTTTGCTCATTTTTCCTGCTTGTTATTGATCTAAAGTTTTCATTAAATCTATTAATAAAACTCTGTCTAGGTCCTCACACCTCAGGGGAAATTACTGTAACAAGGGGTAGGGGGATGCTCTGGGCCCTCCCAAGGAGACCCATACCAGAGTGGTGGCAGCCATTAGTGAACCTCCCTAGCGGCTGCCCGTGACAGAAGGAAAAGGTGTTCTGCTATCTGGGGCACAGTAAAGGGCAGGGGGAATGAAAGAAGTAAAACAAACACACTTTCATAGACACTAACAAGTTTAGACCTATTTGCTTAATTCAAGTTAATAATTACCTTTCAAACCTATTGGACGCCATTGTAGCATGGGCCTCCCCCCTCCACACACCCTGAAACCTTTGTAACCTGACCGTCATAGAGTCCTATTCGAAATTCAAGACATCTGTGTACAGAGCACATTTACTTCTCTGTCCCCTCCTTGTATTGGGGATTCCAGCAGCTTCCAAGCTCTTTTCCTCATAAGAACATAAGAGAAGCCAATGTTGGATCTGGCCAATGGCTCCAGTCCAACACTCTGTCACACAGTGGCCAAAAATACCAGGTGCCATCAGGAGGTCCACCAGTGGGGCCAGGACACTACAAACCCTCCCACTGTTGCCCCCCAAGCACCAAGAATATAGTGCATCACTTGCACCAGACTGAAGTTCCTATCTATACCTTGTGACTAATAGCCACTGATGGTCCTCTGCTCCATATGTTTGTCTTATTCCCTCTTTGTCCATGCTTGAAGCTGCCACCACCTCCTGTAGCAGTGAATTCCATGTGTTAATCACTCTTTGGGTGAAGAAGTACTTCCTTTTATCTGTTCTAACCTGACTGCTCAACAATTTCATTGAGTGCCCACGAGTTCTTGTATTGTGAGAAAGGGAGAAAAGTACCTCTTTCTCTACCTGCTCTATCCCATGCATAATCTTTTAAACCTTGATCATGTCACCCCTCAACCGTCGTTTCTCCAAGCTAAAGAGCCCCAAGTGCTTTAACCTTTCTTCATAGGGAAAGTGTTCCAACCCTTTTATCATTCTAGTCGCCCTTTTCTGTACTTTTTCCATGCTATAATATCCTTTTTGAGGTGTGGTAACCAGAACCTTACACAGTACTCCAAATGAGGTCACACCATTGATTTATACAGGGGCATTATAATACTGGCTGATTTGTTTTCAATTCCCTTCCTAATAATCCCCAGCGTAGCATTGGCTTTTTTTATTGCAGTCGCACACTGTCTCAACATTTTCAGTGTTTACTACTGACATCTATTACGACTCCAAGATCATGTTCCGCCTGTCACAGTGGCAAGCATTTTGCTAGTTACACTTATAAAATTAAGCATATTCTAACATGCTAGAGCCAAGATCTGATTAATTCATTATGATGAGAAGTTGATATCTCCTTTTATACTATAAAAATAATTTCAGTTCTCTTCTTCCCCTAGTCAACTAAATGTTAAGTATTAACATGAATTATTAGAATTCAGCATGTCGTAACAAACTTGGGTGTGTCAGTACATTACTGATAATTATCCAATAGTAGTAAGGTTAGTCATAGTTTTATGGAGAGGAGCTTTTAGTTTTAATGTTTTACCAACTAAGAACTAGGTAATTTAGATTATGAGACTTTTAATAAAGCCAGATTGAAAAGCCTGTTGTTTTCAAAACCACAAGATAGTGCTTTAAGCTTGTTCTTTGAAGGAGAAAGATTGTCAGCTGCTGCCTTAGTGCGTCATAAAAATGTAATGTATTTTACACTGTATATCATTTAATATCTTCAGGCTGTACTGATAGAATAACCAAAGTATTGAACCGTCTGATGTGTAAATGGTTGCTACAGGAGTTATTTTTTAGTCTTTTAGTACTGATACAGTTGATTAAAAATTCTCAGGTGTTAAAAATAGCCCTTGTTCACATGTATAATATAATCAACATTTCTGTATCCTAGTGCTAAATACTATGGGTGTACTGTTTTGACTTTGCTGGATAGTGCTTGAGTGGTCTATGTTAACTAAAAACCTGAACAGTGCAGTCCCATATTGTTTACATTTGTGTTAGGTTAAATATTTTGATAACAATTAAATACTTATTTAACCAATTAATAGTTTGGGCTTTAATCAGTTAAAAATAACTACATTGTTATAATGGGAAACCTTAAGTAGAAAGTGTTTTACCATGATGACACTTAATGGAAAGGAAAAAGGCATTAAGTGCAACTGTGGGATTATTTCCCAAATGTGATAGCGAAGCTCCAGCTCATTGCTGCCCAATAAGGTGGAGAATCATTCTTTAGTATAATCTTGACCTTGTGAACTCCATTGGCAGGATTATCTTCCCATCTCTTCCTTTCTGTGCCCAGTTCTGCTAGGTTGAAAGTAGGAACTTGAACCATCAACAGTGACTCAGTTACATACATACTTGCCTGTTCTTCCTTCTGGTCACTGGTGTGGTCTCTTGAGCCAAACTGAACCACAGCAAGTGGCACAGACTGAGGAAGAAAAATAATAGTACCAAAGTACGATCTTACGGACTTGGGGAGTATATTTCAAGACATTGATAGATGAAAAGAGCATTTTGGCAAGAAATATTGGCAGTTAGGAGGAGGATGGTGGAGTAAATGTTAAAGTGGACCATGATAACTGTTTGCCACTTAGCTATTCACCAAGATACTTGGTTGAATCTTTTATCTTTTCCAGTCATATATCTCTTCCACTCATATAGTCTTCTGTCATCTTCTATAGGAAAAAAATAGGTATTAAAATTGCTTTCCCATTGGTTTTTAGTGATAAATTAGCCTTAAGCATGCTACCAATCTAAAATTTCTCTTCTCTTTCTAATGTCTTGGTTGATTGTGACTATATGCATGTTGTGTATAATCAGGTGCTCAAAGGTCATGACGATCATGTGATTACGTGTCTACAGTTCTGTGGTAACCGAATAGTTAGTGGCTCAGATGATAATACATTAAAGGTTTGGTCAGCGGTTACGGGAAAGGTAAGCCAACTACCTTCATTGGCTTCTAATGAAATTCACACTAAGTACGTTAGTAGAACATTCGAATAGTTGACATTATTATTTATAGTTTTATTGTGTTGCTGAAACTTCTCCAGGAAAAGGTAGTAAAAAATTCTAGTATAATTATTTGAGTGAAGTTTTCTTCGTATTTCAAACTAGTGTTTGTCTATCCTTCTGTGCAAACCCTTTTTTGTTGTTATTTCTCATGACTGGCTTAAGTAAATATGTGGCATTTGAAATGTTTTTAATGCCAGGCATCCATTTTGGTAGCAAAGGAGTTGAATTGGGGAAATAAAATTCAGCAGAATTCATATTAAGAGCATCCAGTTAATTACTACTTCGTTATATTATTTAAACAGTGTCATCATAGTGTAGGAGACCTTACAGAGCTTTGTAGAAAAAGGTTAGATAGGTCCCTGTCTTTAAGATGTACACAAATGATCTAAAACAGATAATGGCATAAACAAGAGAGGACAGAGAGAAAACAGTAAGCAGAGGGTGAATATTAAGCAGATAAGCCAATTCAAATAGTTTTATGGAAAAGATGTATGTTGCTGTGGTTTGAACTGTACTGTTTAAGATTGGTCATGTACCTCTGTGGGCCTGAGATCACAAAAATTAGGTCCCATAACATCTTCCTCAAATATCTGACGTATTGATAATAATGCTACATCTCCCAATCCACATGGCTGGCTGTAGCTCCTTTTAATAAGAGAGAAGGTTTTAGTGAAATGAATTTCTACTGCAGAGATTATTGGCTTCTTAATATTATCTGATCTTCAACACACACATCCCGCGCACACACGGACGTTATTTAGCTTGAATGATATGCTATACATCTCATCCTGTCAATTCTACATTTAATTCATTAGGCTGTTTTTGCGTGTGTAACTTTGTAACTTTGGGCCTGGGGAAAGGTTGAAAATACCATGGTCATGTTATATACAGCCAGTTGAATTTGTTTCCTTTCAGTATCAGGATTTTACTGAAAAGGATCATTTAAAAACTGTCAGCCAAGTTTGTATTCATAAATGGTAGTGGTAAAGGAAGGGTGCTTTGTATGTTTCTCCCATATATAGTCTAGTAGCAACAGAACAAAGTTTGACTTCAGTAACACCTTTTAAGACAAAGTTTAATTCTGTGTATAAGCTTTCGTATGCATGCCCACTACATCAGATACAAACCTGATGATATAGTAGCAGTAAAGCATAGAAGTATCAAGAGTTTCTAATGGCTTTTTAATAACTTGTAGAATATCACTACATGAATAAAAACTGAAGAGTGGCATAAGTTAATCTGTTTTGTCAATTATCATCTTTGTCTGAATGGTAACCAAGGCAAATGCTTGCTTTCAGTGTTTAAGAACGCTTGTTGGACATACAGGTGGAGTTTGGTCATCTCAGATGAGGGACAACATAATCATCAGTGGGTCCACTGACCGAACACTTAAAGTATGGAATGCAGAGACTGGGGAGTGTATACATACGTTATATGGACATACTTCCACTGTGCGTTGTATGCATCTCCATGAAAAAAGGTAAATCTTTGTTTTAACAGTTGTAGATATCTTTGTTATGAGCCACCAAAGCTTGTATTCCAAGACAAGGAATACAAGCTTTTAGATGTTTTAAAGAATTCAAAGAGTTATGTTCACTGTATCAGTCAATAGGACTAACTTAATTGTCCAGTTTCAAATGCAAAATCTTCTGTAATAGATACAGTTAGAATGGACACCTAAAACTAATTGCAGCCTTTCCATTTTCCTAGAGTTGTCAGTGGATCTCGAGATGCCACCCTGAGAGTTTGGGACATAGAGACAGGCCAGTGTTTACACGTTCTGATGGGTCATGTAGCTGCAGTCCGATGTGTACAGTATGATGGCAGGAGGGTTGTTAGTGGAGCATATGATTTTATGGTGAAGGTATGGGATCCAGAAACTGAAACCTGTCTACACACCTTGCAAGGCCATACTAACAGAGTGTATTCATTACAGGTAAGCATTTTCCATCTGGTACAATAAATCTCCTTCAGTATCCCACTGATAGTTATAGATGCTTAGCTGAATATCTGCAAAGCAGTCAGTTTAATATACATATTATACATAATATATTTATTACAGTTAAATGGCATGTATCCTAGATTTTCCTTTATTTTCCATCCCATCTAGTTTCCTTAGGGAGCTCTCCTAAGGAGACCTGCTCTGAAATAAGTCCCATTTTATTCAGCTGGGATCACTCCCAGGAAAGTGCCTTTAGGACTGCTTAATAAACTTTAAGGAACTTGGCAAGGCTAGCCTACAAAATGACAAAACATATTTGCTAGGCATCTTTGTTTATGTAGAAGAAATGGTCAGTGTCACCCACTGACTAGACTACATGAATCGTATTAATTTTGTTTAATTCATTTATAATCCTTTCCACATTTGTCCAAACAGATAAATAATTGGCTTCCAATAAAGGCTTTGGTTTAAAACTGTACAATGGAGAATTAACAAATAATTTTAAAAGATCAAAATGCAATACAAAAACTTGACAGAATTCTGAAATAATTAAGCAGAGGCATAAATGTAGCTCCCAACCACAGCAGTACCCTACCAGATGATCTTCATGCACAAGAAGATTCACAGCAAGAGGCAATTTATAAATTGCCCTGGGCCTAAATATTTAGGGCACTAAAAGTCTGTACCTGTACCTTCCATTTACCTAGGAAACCTGGCAACCCATCAAGGTTGGTTTAATAAGGGTACTGTAACACTGATTAATAACCATTCAGCTGCAGGGGGCAGTTTGGTCCAATCTCCTGCATTTTACCATGAGGTTATCTCATTATCTTCTCTTCAGCTTGTTTTGAAAGACCAGGCAGTAGAACTCATAAAGTTTCTTTTTCTGCTTTCTGTCACCTTTATAGAATGAGATTGAGGAATAGGACTTGATAGTTGTTAGTTAAGATATGGCAATAAAGAGATTTGTTTGCATGCTATGTGTCTTCAGTACAATTTGGATTTTAAATTGTGGTTTTTAATGTATTTTTTATAATTGTTGTTTTATTTATATTGTAAGCCGCCTTGAGTTAGAAAGGTGGCATCTAAATGTTTTAAATAAAGAAAGAAAAATAAACCCATGAAAATATGATTTCTCCAAATTAGTTATATTATTGGTATTTAAATATGAGAGCTTAACATTTCTAATGCACTTTAGACACAAACATTTGAAACAAAAGTAGTTGATCTGGCAGTTTTAGACAATTAGGTTATAACAGCTTTATATATATATTATTTTCCACATAGCCTTAACATAAAATTTCTCCTAAAATACTTTAAACATAACTTGATTTATTTACATTATATGTTTTGAATCATAGATCGTGTCATTTTAAAAACTTGACAGTGAAAGCAGCAGATGACTGTATCAGTCATAATTCCTCTTTTGCCCTGCCTCAGACGTATTGTGCAATATCCAGATGCCCTTACGTTTTCTGAAGATGGAAGGTGATTTCTACCAGTTCCACCCCTCACTGAGCACTCTAAAATTTTGTTCCTGGAGTCTGTGTACTCTTAGGAACAACATTATAGGGGTCTGCATTTTGGCAGAAATTGCCACTTCCTTCTAGAGAAAATGTAAGCATCCTTAACTTCGGAATAGATACAAACTATTATATTATAAAAATGAATAATAAAATATGTTAATATAGTTCACCTTTCCCCCTTAGTTTGATGGTATCCATGTAGTGAGTGGGTCTCTGGACACTTCAATCCGAGTTTGGGATGTGGAAACGGGAAACTGTATACACACATTAACAGGCCACCAGTCATTAACAAGTGGGATGGAACTCAAGGACAATATTCTTGTCTCGGGGAATGCAGATTCCACAGTCAAAATCTGGGATATCAAAACAGGACAGTGTTTACAGACATTGCAAGGTGAGTTTCTTGTTGGCTTATGTAACTTACTTCAAAATATTCAAAAGGAAATGAATATTATTAATCTACATGTTGGAAAAATTGTTTTAAATTCAATATACAAATGAGATCTGAGTATTTGAAACATATTAGTTCACTAGGAAAGTAGTGAGTAATGAATGTGTTCTTCTGACGTGCCCTATCTCCTCACTCTGGTGTCTTCATTCCTTATTTTGATGCTATTAGTTGATATGCTATGATGTCATAGTGAGTTAGCGCTGAAAAAGCTGTCACGGACTCTCTAGCAGTCATTCATTATGATGTTATAGAAAACCTGGGGTAATTTGGATTCTGGCTGAGTTGGCTACTGGAAATCTTAGAACCTTGAAATCAAAGGTCTGTGGGCATTTTATGTGAAATGAAACCCACTGTTATTCTTCATGGCATCTGTGCATCACACAAATGGGCTATGAGTCTAGACAGAGCCTGAATTCAGAACCTTCTAAAATAAAGTATTTGGTTTAAAACCATCCCCCTCTTCCAGGCCTGCTCTCACCACATACTCCCACACACATCAGCATCATAGATTGAGTACCTCTTCTAAGTTTTTCTCTGTGAGCTATTTCTTGCATTTTTCTTCGTCATTGTCATCAAAAGGATACTGTGCCAAATATTCTCCTACCTTTATCATTCTGAGGAGAGTCCCCCCCCCCAGCTGTCCTTCATGGTATATAGCAGAATAGACAACATTCACATGGTGTTGGGAGTGCACGGGCAAGTTGCCCTCCGGTAACAAAGCATCTTGAACAGGTCATAACATTGATTCATATGTCCATTGTCAAAATTGTATAAGGCAAGTTTCCATGCTCACTTCTCTTGGCTCAGGGCCACCTTTTGGAAATGGCTTGTAAGTGCTTTGGACTCTATGGCAGTGGCTGTTACTGGACTGCTGTTTATCCCAGCTGGTGCCTTATGTTTTCCAGTCCCTTGAGGTATTCTACTGGCCTCCACAGTCAAGGAGATCCTTTTCTTGTGCAGTTTTGAGAACCAGTACTTTCCAAGCTACAGTTTAGCTCTCAAAGTTCAATATCTTCTTGAACTTCCAAAAAGAGCCTTTGACTTGATTCCTGCCTTCATCCTTCCTGCTACACCATGTCTTGTTAACATATCTCTGTGCCCAAGGCTATCACCAACAAAAAAGGGGGTCCGCAGTATCTTCAAACTAGAATATGAAATAGAATTTGCTTGACTTCCCCTACAAGAGTGTTTAAGCATACTCCTCCTGGAAGTCCACTTCCTCCTGAAGAAAATGGCAATATAGGTGGTACCAACCTACCAAATAAGAGAACCATTCTATTCTCAGTACTTTGCCTTTTTGAAGAAAAATGGAGGACTTCTTTCTTTACTGGGGTTTAGGGATGTCAAATCCTCCTACACTGGGGTTTGGAATGGTATCCCTGGATAGGACACCAAACCCTCTTCTGACACCAGAGTTTGACTTGCCTCTGCTCCAGAGATGCATACTTCCACGGGGCACTTAAGCCCCAAGAGAGTAAATTCCTAGTTCTTCTGTCAATACAAAGTGCTGCACTGATATCTGTACTGCCCTACATAGATGACTGAGTTCTTTGCAGCTGTCTTCTCATCCTTCTTTACTATGTCTCCTAACTACGTGTCATTTGTTAGAAGTTCCATCCCCATCTTATTGGATACCTACAGTTTTTTGGTGTAGTGTTCAGCTCTAAAACTGCAGGGACATTTCTGACTCAAGACAGAGCGTCTACCCTAAACCATACTACTCATACATTGTGCCAATTGGGACACATGGCAGTGTCCATTGTAGTGGTGCAGTACAGCAGAGTGCACATTCACTGCCTATAAACTTGTTTTGACTGCTTATTTAGTCACCTATGGGACTTGCAGGATATGGATCCCACACTGCCACTGTTTGCTTGTCTGAAGCCTTCAGTGATGGATATGCCTTCAGCATCTTTAGCAAGAAACGCCCTCAGCACTTGCAGCAGATGCCTTGTAGAGTTGCTGCAGTGCTCTCTTAAGAAGACTAAAGATAGAGGCATGGCTCCTCCCCTTGGGTGTGGATGGTGACTACAGGTTCAGAAGGGAGGGAAGATTTCGTTCAAAAAGGCTTAGCTCAAGAAGACTCCAACTTCAGGCTCTGTGCAGGCATGGAGCCCATTTCTGTGATGCACAGATGACCACGCAATCTGTTTTTGTGTAGCATTATGTTAGTGCCTTCTGGAGAGCTTCATGCTCAGTTGCCACCCAAGAGATTAAAAAACAAGTATTGTGATGGTACTGGGATTTATCAGCCGGTTACTTGGATACCACCACTTCACTCAATCTTAGAGTGGCCTTCCAACACAATTTATTGCTGAGCAGGGTGCAGTGCTATGGGTTTTCTTATGAATCTGCATACCTTGAATGGTTGAGGGTCTTGAAGCATTTCTCTGAGAACAAACCAACCATTTTTGATGCTTCTAAGGAGGGATATTTGTTAGAACGGGAAAGCTACTTGCTAGGATAAAGTTAGCATTGATAGACTGATTCAGCTGTCCAAGTAAAATTATCTAGAAATGTGTGGTCTCAAAATTTTGGAGAACAGAAATTAACACATTAAAGCATAAAGGAAGAAGGACACCAAATAGCATACAATACCATAATCAAACATGTTAATGATGGTTGCTTCATCTCTTTGTTCTTCTGCACTATATTTTTATGAATTGACTCTTATCAGTGAATGTTCATTGTTCTATTTAAGGCATTTGCTGTTAGAGCAAGCAAGCGTAGACAGCTAGAACTGTAGTCAGGATTATTAAACAAACCACAGTAATATGGAGAGATAGAATCATTATAACAGCTACTCAGTATCTTTATTTTGGAGTTTCTGAGACATTCCTCTGCTTAGAGGTTAATTGGGTAAAGATAAGGAAGCCTGGTCTGTTCCTATAAATCAAGAAGGATTACAAAGTACATGCAGAATGTGAAGAATGGAGGAAGGAAACAAAGGTTTTAGAGCTCTTTTTAACAAGTACAGTGCAGTCATATAGGCACACAAACATAGACATGTTCCTCCTTTCCAAAGGAGGATATTGTACTCTTAATGTTTTATCCAAATGTATTTTGCATCAAGTTTTATCCTCTAGTTCTTGCTCCATCAACACCATGACTCAGTTAAATGCAATCTGCTACTGAAGTTCGAATCCTTTGAAAGATTTGAATATTTGTGCAGTTTGAAATAAAAGTTGAAAACATCTCTAGTACGGAAGACTTGCAAATAAGAATCAAAGCTATCTTTGAACCTTGCATGTTCTGCTGACCTGCTCTGCTGCTGCTCATCCCCACCTTTTCCTTGCCACAGCTATGTGTGTTCTTTCTTTCCATCTCTGTCACTGAGTGACAGAAGGCAGCTTCCAGACTGATGCCTCAGTTTCCCCAAATGTGGAACCACCATGAGTTGCTTTGGACATGATAACAGGAGCACAGCGACCCAATTGCATGGTCTGTTTCACAGCAGGTGTAGCTTTCCTGGGCATTGATCCCTCAAATTAGACGAAAACCATCACTTGCCTGTTGTCTGAACAAGCCATTCCATAAGGATTGCCATTCTCTCCTCTTTTCTGGCCAAACAGAGACGGAACAATCAGGATAGTATCGTTGTGTTCTCCCAGGCAGACTACTCTGCCAATCTCTGTTTCCTTTTCTGTTTAGTTGTGTCCATGAGAGAGACATATAGAGAAAACACATAACCAACATACTGTCTTATGTTTCTCCAGTGGAGAAAGACCACTGGTTGCAGCACTTTCTATGCCTTCTGAAGAGAAAAGTGATGAAGTTAGCCAAGGGCTGTGTTGGCAAACAGCGCCGTGGCAGTTACCAGTCTCAGTTTTGAAGGACCAGGGCTGACTTTCTGGTAATGATTGTGCAAGCCTCAATGCTAGCAGAGGATGCCATGAGGGAAAGCACAGTTTGCTGCTTAGTTGGTGACTTAATCCGACTCCCAGGAACCCTGCTTTTTTATGCAGTTAGCATATTGTTGTAAAGCACCTTTGAGCATTGCAGATTAAAGCTGATTGAATAACTTTGCAGCAGCTGGTATTCCCTAAGAATTAAGAATAGTTGGATTTCTTTGTTTGGCCTAGATCAGTTTATTTTGTGTCTTGCTAATCATTCCCTCAGTTAACACTTTTCTATGTAGCAGGTGTTTTTGGAGTGTTGAGTATATCATTTGCTTTATTGGCCATTAGCAAATTGCACGGTTTTCTGTTTTTAAGTATGCTGTTTATCATTTCTAGTTCTATAGATGTGTAAAAATATAGTATAAATAAAAATATGGCCTTCAGTTCTATAGCCAGTGATACTGTATTATATTTACAATTTTGTTGCTGTTATTGTTCCAGGTCCCAACAAGCATCAAAGTGCTGTGACCTGTTTACAGTTCAACAAGAACTTTGTAATTACCAGCTCTGATGATGGGACTGTGAAACTTTGGGACTTGAAAACGGGTGAATTTATCCGAAATCTAGTTACATTGGAAAGCGGAGGGAGTGGAGGTGTCGTATGGCGGATCAGAGCCTCCAACACGAAGCTAGTGTGTGCAGTTGGAAGCCGGAATGGAACTGAGGAAACCAAGCTGCTGGTGTTGGACTTTGACGTGGATATAAAGTGAAGCTTGAAAAGATTATTTTGTCCAGAAATGCAAACATTGTTCTGTCCTCCCCTCCCTCCCTCCCTCCCTCCCTCTGCAAAATGGAAAAATAGAAAAACCTTGTCCTTTGGTGGTGCAGGATGTTGGCTTGGGGCAACAGATCCTAAAGACCTACAGGCTACGAAGGAAGGAAGAAGACAAAAAGATGACCAACTGTAACTGACAAGAGGGGCACTTGCTGTCTCCTTACATCAAAGGCTTCACTTTTGAATGAGGGGGCAGCTTTGCAAAAGATGACTTTCTAAATCAAGCCAGGTGCAATTGTTTCTTTTTATTTTTTTTCTCTCAGTGCTCATTGAGCATGGTGGAGATTGAAAAAGTTGCTACAGCTCTTCTTAACCCTGTTCTCTTACCACAAAAATCTAGAAGGGAGCTTCATACCTCTGATATCGGTTACTGATTGTCTTTCAAGCAGGAGAGCATCTGTGGCAGTAAAGAGTCCTTTCTCATGTGTGGAACAGATAAAATCGTACTGTGAATTGTTTTTTTGTACAGTTTTACAGCTTTTTTTATTTGCCAACCATTGCCAATGTCAATCACAGTATTAGCCTCTGTTGATCTATTTACTGTTGCTTCCATCTCTGCTCTTCAATGCATATGTTGCTCTGAGGTGGCGAGTTGTCCGGGGTGTTCTAAGGTTTCCTCAGATGGTCAATACATGATGCTGGTGCTAGAAGTAGGTCTTCAGCTATGGGATTGTTGTCCCGCCCCTGTACTGTATTCCCAGTGGCCAAACTTATTTATGCTGCTAAATGAAAGAAGAAAAAAAAGCAAATTATTTTTATTTTTTTTCTGCTGTGACGTTTTAGTCCCAGACTGAATTCCAAATTTGCTCTAGTTTGGTTACGGAAAAAAAAGACTTTTTTGCCACTGAAACTTGAGCCAACTGTGCCTCTAAGAGGCTGAGAATGGAAGAGTTTCAGACAATTTAGAGTGAAGTTTGCTTGCAAGTAATGAATCGAGAGTGTGTGCAAAGCTTATTTTCTTTTCTTTTTTTCTGGGCAAAAATTAAAACACATTCCTTAGAACAAAGCTCTTGTAGCCTGTTCTGTGGGGAAACGTTTCTTTGTGAGGGCTGTGGTGAATGGAATAAACAGACATAATGAAACTGACAAGATATTTTTAAAAAAATAATACAAAAATGAAAATAAAATTGCTGGTCAGTCTTAGTGTTTTACGGAATTTGAAGAGAAATAACTGTTACAGTTTTATGGCAGTGAAAAACTGACAGAGTGAAAATGCTTTGGTTTTTGTGGTAAAGTTGTCACACACAAAAAAAAGAATGAAAATGTCATGTGGTTTGCCTCATTCTCCAAGAGCCACAACTCCAGCTGAACTGTGAAAGTGGTTTAACACTGTATCCTAGGCGATCTTGTTTCTCCCCCCCCCTCCTTTTTTGGTTTATTTATAGTCTGATTTTTTTATTTTAAGAAATCGGATTTCAGTTCGTTAATTTTAGTTATGTAACAACCTGACAGGATGGAGAAAAACAACCTTTAAAGGGATTGTGTCTATGATTTGATTCACTTAGAAATTTTATTTTCTTATAACTTAAGTGCAATAAAATGTGTTTTTTCATGTTAATATGTCTTTTTCTTTCAGTACCTTTACACACTTTAATGTTTAATTAGTATATTAAATTTGAAGGTAGAAAAGGTTTGAGCATAGGATTTGAGAAGATAGTCTTAAACAAGCGTTTTATTTTATTGGAAGGAAGTATAATAAACAGATGCTCAAAGTCTTTAAAATTTTTCACTTTATGCAACACAGTTTTAGGGACTCTTATTTAAGAACCTCTGTGGAAAACTGTTTCAGAGCAGCTGTTTGTCTTTTCCTGAGGGTTAATGCTTTCAGTTTATTATGTTGTCTTCAGTATATGAAGCAGCTACCAACGTGGTAGTAATATCTTCTAGATTATGTGGAGGAGAAATTAAGCAACAAACCAAAGGCACACTTATATAAATACATTTCTCAAAATCCTGACAGTAAAATGTAAAAAGGTTATGTTGATTTTCTTACAGTTGCTATTTATTGCAGTAATTTGACTGAAATTGCTTAGCAAAGATTAGAATAAAAATAAGCCTAAAATGAAACAAAGGAAGAATAGTAATCTTTAAAACAAGCATCCAGAAATGTGAGATGAAAAATAGGAAGACCCATACAGTCTTCAAACTATCAAATGCAGTTCAACAGTCATCTTGTTAAAATAGAAAAGTTGGTACAGGCAAGCAGTTATCAAAACATCATTTGTACAATCAAGCCTACCAGTTGCTGCATATTCTCCAACTCCATCTCTAGGAGACTACAATACTTCTACCCGAGGAATGGACCATTATTTAGTGACATACTAGTACAATGTCTAGAAAAGGTGACCTTAGGGGTATGCTGCCAGTCTGTGTACTGTATTAAGATATGCTGACCAGTAGTCTTCCTTGATTAATAAAAGACACCTCCATGCCCTTGTATATCTGGAAGAAAAATTATGTCGGTTTTACCCAGTTGCCAGGGATAACAACAGGTGTGAATGCTTATTACTCCAACAATGCTATGATGAGAAGCTGGAAATCATCCCTGGAAAAATTCACATACAAGGAAAACCTGTAAGTATTATGGAAACGTATTTCAATTTGAGATCAGAGTTTAGTTCTGCTCCCTGTTTCTAGACTGCATATCTGTTGCTTCCTGTTGTATGGAATTCTTATGAGACCATAATACAAAACTGTCTTTGAGAATGTAGCTGAAAAGAAACTAAGCCTTAAACTGTTACAGTCTTCACTGCGTAGGACACTACTCTGAGTTGTTACATTTGTCTGGCTCATAGGTAGCTTGTGCTTCATAACATAGACAAAGATAAGATGTTGAATGATCTATAAGTTCTGAAAGGATTGTGACCACTGCTTAAGCAGTGGCCAAAGTGGTGTTTCAGCCCTGAAGCCAGGAAGAGACCGGGTACATTTCTGTTCTTTTGCTTTAAGGGAAGTTCTATGCAAATGGTACAAAAGAGAATGTGTTTGCTTCCTTTGCCAAACAGAGAATACTATTTTTGCAAATAACTGTTCGCTGTAGAAGCAACAGCTAGTCTATAGGGCTGGCACTTAACCTGTGCATTGAATGGCAGCTTTGACTTGAATGTGGATGTCCCGTTTTATCAAACCATACTAACTGTACAATTTGTCAGGAAGTCATGGAGAATATTTACTTAAAGCAGAATACCTAATATATGTAAATCAGGCTTCTTTGACCCCCAGTACTAAAGAGAGTTGGTTATACAGGATAAATTTGTCACTGTAGAGGGCAGTTGAGGAAACTGTTGCTATATTGTCTACCTCTTAAGCCTCTTTCAGCAGATTTGGAACTGTTTCCACATGATGCACTGCAAGAATGTACCCATATGAAAAGATGATTGTACGGGCTGGGCTTATTACATTGTCTTTCACACCATATCAGTATTGTTCCTCCAGTAGAGTGTCAATGTCATGAGAATGACGCAGGTGATTGGCACATATAGACATATTCCCTGCAGCATGTAGTTGCACAATATGGAAGCAGCTCTTACACTACTGGCTGCATATGTGAAAGGGACCTTGTACTGAATGAACTAAATTTGTACCAGTGTGTTTTGAATAAATGTTATGCACAATGTTTGAATATTGAGAGCTCAGGATGATGTCTCTGGTTTTTGTAAAATAGCCAGAAATATTTCATTTGCCTATTAACATAATGTTTCTAAATTTAATCAAACTAGTTCTGTAAGGAGAGTTCAAGACTTCCTGATGGACCAGTAATAGCTCAGATTACTACTTAGGCATCTGTATGACAATTGAAAATGTTGGTGTCTGTATGCAGGATTTGGATAACTATTTATATGGTTACAGTTGCAATCATGTACATGCAGTCTACGCATCAGTGAGTGCAGGTTCAATCTCTTCAGTCCCTTTTTTATATCTTTCTGCAGTAGGAGTGTTATACAGATTAGTTATACATCTATATATATAAAAGAAAGTTCCCCTCACTGTAAAATCAATGCCCAGGCCAAACTGCTGGACCTAGAGGCACCAAATTCGGGGAGAGTGCTCCTACCATGATTTAGGTGCTCACTAAGAAGGGATTTTTAGAAATTCAACTCCTAAGGGGGTCACAAGGGTAAAATATGCTCCCCTCATTGATTCCTATGTAGCTGCCGGCTGCTGCCTCCTTGCACCCCCCCACTCTCTGATTGGTCAGCTGCAGAGCTCAGTATTCTGAGGTTAAAAAAACAACAGTTATAAGAGACTGCAGACAGCTAACAACAGTTGAGGAAATCAGGAATGGCCAACAACCACCTGTGAGGTGCAATAATGCTGCTGGCCCAGCCTCTCTGATGGCTTCCAACACACTCCCCCAACTTCCTACACCTAACCGTCTGTCGGGTGCAGCCCCACCTCCACAGTGGCTTCTAATACTCCTCCCCCCTCCCCCTCCTACACTGGAAAGGCAGCTGCCTGTCAGGTGTAGAAGAGGTGGGATGGCTTCCAACACACTCCCCCACACACACCTAATAAGCAGTGGTCTATCAGGTGCAGCAGTGATTGCAGTGTGCTTAAAGCCATAAGGGAGCCACCCCAGCAGTAACGCCTTAGTGATCCTGCCGGCCCTGCCTCCACAGTGGCTTCTAATACTCCTCCCCCTCCCCCTCCTACACTGGACAGGCAGTTGCCTGTCAGGTGTAGGAGAGGAGGTGGGATGCTTACAGCCGCCGGGGAGGTTTGCTCAGCAGGATTGCCTTAGCACTGCTGCTGATTCAGCCTCCCTGATGCCTTTAAATATAATCCCCCCCAACACACAAGACAGGCCGGTGACTGTCAGGTGTAGGAGCAGGACCGGGGTATTTTAATCCATCAGGGACGCCGCCCCAGAAGGATCACCTTAGCGATGCTGCTGGGCCAGCCTTTCTGATGGCTTCCAACACACTCCCCCACTTCCTACACCTAACAGGTGGTTGTCTGTCAGGTGCAGCAGTGGTTGCAGGGTACTTAAAGCCATGAGGGAGCCTGCCCTAGCAGGATTGCCTTAGTGATACTGCCAGCCCTGCCTCCACAGTGGCTTCTAATACTCCTCCCCCTCCCCATCCTACACTGGACAGGCAGCTGCCTATCAGGTGTAGGAGAGGAGGTAGAATGCTTACAGCCACCAGGGAGGTTTGCTTAGCAGGATTGCCTTAGCCCTGCTGCTGGCCCAGCCTCCCCGATGACTTTAAATACAATCCCCCCCAACACCAGACAGGCCAGTGTCTGTAAGGTGTAGGAGCAGGGCCAGAGTATGAATGTTTATGGGGTGATAGTAAAGGACATTTCTAGGAGCAATTTCGATGCGTGCCTCCCTCATGAACCTGAAGAAATGTCCACCACATCACCACTCCCTCACACCAGCTCCCCCTCACCTCTTACTACCCACAAGAAAGCTCCTGGCAAACGTCGAGCCAGATACACCAACTCTACAAGGAGGAGGCAATTTAGGAATGCAGCAAAGACATTTGCATGTAGTACTCCTGCAGTGCACTGAGCTGCACAGGCCAAGTACCAGCAAGATCACCCTGAGGAGCTCACAGCATCACTGTCTCCATATGAGCAAAACAATCCTGGAACACAAGTAGAGAGGCCATCACTTTCGTGGAATGTAGCAGGAGTTGACTTAACAGACGACTGCTTCTTAAATGGACAGTTCTATGTGGCCTCCTCCAGAGTGAGCTCATCAAGCAGCCTGGTGACCCTAGCACCTGAGGGAAGAACCACCAATGTGGTCTAGA